GGCTGCCGCCCTCTCCAAAACATCTTCCGGGCTGTTCTGCCGTCTATCTGTCTTTCGGACGTAGCTCCGACCCATGGCATTCGTGAGCTGGAAAAAGCGTTCAGGAATTAGGATTACAGGATGAAGCAAGTGACGGTCACGTGAATAATATGAATGATAGGCAAGTACGTAGGTTAAAATATATTCCTGCCCGGGGCCGGGATGATTCAATAAATGTCACCGAGGTTTTTTAGCGAAAACTCCGAGGGCCGTTAGGCCCGAGGTGCTTTTCGCTAAAAAAGCGAGGTGACATTTATTGAATTCCCGGCCTTAGGGCTGGAAGGTGTTTCCCATACCTGCCAAAAAGCTCACAACTATAATTGATAGTGACGTCAGCAGCCGTGTGGTTCAACGCGTTTAACCACACCCCTTGAACCACACGGCTGGCAATATTAAAGCACTGCATTAAACTTTGAAAAGTGTGGTACAGTGCACGTGCCATTAAAATGCCTGGATGTCTCGATTTAATCATGCAATGTAGCAGGTATGGGAAAGGAAGCATCCACCTTCATGGCAGGACATATAATTTAATTAGGTAGGTATAGGCAGCGTCTAAGACTTAACTATCTATAAAAACTTATCGATATATCTATCGCAATTTGCAACCTTGTTTTAAGTCCATTTTCGACCCGTCTAATGTAAGTATAAACCGGAAATGGAAAATGTTTTAACCTGAGATAAGTTGTATCACTAGTGGGATAAGTTGTATCACTGATACAACTATTCCCACCACTCCCTGATACAACATGTCCATGCGGGCCATTTCAAGAAAAGGTCTGCGAAACGCTATCCGCCATGTTTCATTGCTCGAAACGAATTATGTTGTGATTAAGAGCAATGTTGACACTCACGCATAATGGTAAAACAATAGAAAGCTTTCAACATATTCAAGTCAAAAACATATATTTCCTAAAGAACGCATTTCTTACAACGGACCCATCAAAACACATTATTGGGACTCACCTGAAAACACGTCCGCTCCTGTTCACGTCAAAACACGGAAAGGTGGCGCGCGGCGTGGCGTCTCAAATAGTTGCGACAAGCCTGCCATCTGACGGATAGTTTTCGCAAAAATCGCTCTGATACTACCTGTCCATGATACAACTCACCCCGCTCTCCCCTAGGTATGCCAAGTTTCAGCTCTCTATCGCCGGCGTGTTCGAAGCTATCGTGAAAACCCTATGGGGGGCGGCACCCCCCCCCCCCACCCGTCGGCCGGCGAGGGTAAATGATACATGTAGTGCCTGATACGAGCATAAGGTTAAAACATGCCTAATTTCATTTCAATAATAACGATCGAAAGCGTCACAGCTAGACAAAAAAGAAAAGCTGTACTTAAAAATAAGCGGATGTGAACACAATCTCCTTGACCGAATCCTTACAAAATGCAAGTCACGGGCCATGGCACCCCAGAAAACCTTGCTTAAAAAGACCCACTGAATCGCCACGAAATCAAGTGCTTTAACATAGGAACTGATAGGCGTGTCATCTCTATGTATATAAGATCTCTATGGCTGCTCCCACCAACCGCAGACCATCCCCGTCAGGAGTCTCAAATATCGAGCGCCGGAGCGTCTCGAACCCGGGCTCTCACTACCGGGAGTCCAATGCTCTACCAACTGAGCTACGGGACTCTTTGTTTTGCACGTGGCACGTGCATAAGGGGTCACCCACATGCATCGGGAATTAAATAGTCCAATACTTGGTAGAAGGAATGAAGCTACCCTACAAAAATTACCGCGTGTAAATCGGTCAAGTGGTTGCTGAGATATAAGCCTCGCAAAAGCGTGACCACGGCCGGCCGGCCGGCCGCTCATACTCAGAAATTTCCGTTAATCTAAGGAAAGACTACGCTCGCTTCGCTCGCTCCGTAATAACAACAAGCGTGCTGGTTTCATTCTCGTGTTCCATTTTTCTTTTTTCCTAACATGGTACGTGTAAAGCCAATCATCACTACCGTCCAACATCGGCAAAAAAAGCAAAAACGTCTTACTTAACCCTCGCCGGCCGAGGGGGGGGCGGGTGCCGCCCCCCCATAGGGTTTTTTCGCGATAGCTCCGAACACGCTGGCGATAGAGAGCTGAAACTTGGCATACCTGACCTTTGATCCAAGCCGCATCTTTTGACACCAACCGCATTTTTGGGTCAGGTCAGGTCACTGACCTATGACGTCATAAGTGAACCTCTGCACGGTCTTCAGATGTCGCAACTTCGCAACGCCCTCACTGCCAGAGGAGATGTCACAGGGAAATGAAACTTGCAGGATCTAGTATCCATTATGAGTCCCACAACTTGTATATCGCGGATTTTTCCTAAAGGTCATATGAGGTCAGGTCATTTTCGTGACCTCACCATTATAAGTCAATAGGGAAAAATGAAAACTGCTATTCTGGCGCCGGGAACGATCTCCAACTATCTCAAGCACACAGAATCGTGATTTGATGCACTCCTTGCAAGGTTAGATGCGTCACTTTTGCAATGTTGACCTTGCGTGACGTCATTTATGACGTCATCAAGGTCATATTAGTTTTTCGTCAATAACTCTTGAGCAAATTGAGCTAGCGAGTCGGGAAAGCCACGAATGGACTCTGGAAGACCTGCCGAATCGAATGATATGCGACATGACCTCTTTCGACCAACTTCGTGACCTGGGGGTGCTGACCTGACCTTGACCTGAGGTCAACACCCCAAGTTGACCTGACCCGGACAAAAAGTATATCATTCGACGCGCCTGAGCGAGACGAACACGATGCTGCCAAAATCGGCGCTCTGCGGCCGTTTTTTGCGAAGTTATTCACCAAAAACTGAACCGTACCTTGGGGCACTTGACCTGACCTCAGAGGTCACCGGTTGACCTAGGACCTTAAAATCGGGTACCAATCTCTGCGTCTCGTAACGGCGCACACGCTCGTTTTTTCCGCGACGCGCTAGCTCCACCAGGGGCGAAACGGCGAGGGGGGGGTCGTAACCGCCCCCCCCCCCCCCCTTGGCCGGCGCGTATGTAGAAAACCAATAGGTCCGGCGAGGGTTAATTCAACATAAGATTGCTGGCTTGAAAATGATGATAGAGTGTTATAACTTAGCATACCAATGCGCAAGGAAGTGACGTAAAGTTGCTTAGAATTTTGGCTCGTTATTTGCACTCAACTTTGAGATATAGGCCTGCAAAGTTCGGAACGTTTTTTTTTGGGGGGGCCACCCGGTATATGACCGCGAAGTTATTGAATTCAATCGCGAAGATTCGGTTCAAAATTTTGGAAAATATTATACAACATCAAAAATTCCAAGACGGCAATTCGCTTTTGCACATAGGCGGATCCAACCGAGAGTTTTGGAAGGGGCAAACCATCACAATTTATTGTTTCTTTTCATGCACTGCCATAGACGTAATGTTAAAAATGATATCCTTTGTGGGGGGGGGGGCAATTGCCCTATTTGCCCTCCCCTGGATCCGCCACTGCTTTTGCAGTGTATTTGCAGCTTTATATCGTTTACGGCCAGTTTATACATCTTAACCCTCGCCCTGGCAGGGGGGGGGGTCGATGCGACCCCCCCCCCCCGCTAAGGTTTTTCGAAGATAGCGTAAAAACAGCGGCGCGCAGCGCTGCCAAATTTGGCACAGCCTATGGGGCAATATTTTTACATATGACCTGAAAATTTCAGGTCCGGGTGACCTTGGGTCAGGTCACCAGGTCAGAAAAACCGGTACAAGGTCATGGTCAAATTTCAATTTTCTTTTTGCACCTGTCCAACTCACAGTTTTGGACTGATTTCCTTCAAACTTTCGGGATGTGCTAAGTTCACCGAGTTGTATAACATATAGTTCGGTTTTTTTAGGTCACTGACCTGAGGTCAGTTAGAGGTCATTACGTCGTAATGTTAAGCCTATGGGAAAATACTAAATTTGGAAAATACTGGAGATATCCGCTTCGTTCTATCACTTTTGTGCTTTGAAACCACAGTACTTAGGAGCAGGTCACTTGGTGCTTCTTTGTTTTGTATACTTATCCATGGGTCAGGTCAAATGAGGTCAACTGAGGTCAAATGACATGTTTGCCAATAACTTGGCACATAATGACGCTAGAGTTTAAAAAATGGTATAATTGTGTTCCTGGTGATCAGCCGAATCGAATGATATGCGATATGATGCAATTTGGTTAACTTCAACTTAATTAATTAATTAAAGTTTACTTAAAATTTAAGAAAAACTTTAAGTACACGTAAGCAAGCTAAAAAGTATATCATTCGACGCGCCTTGACGTGCTGAGTTCACTGGTGCTTTTCGTTTTGCTCTATCTTAATTAGATTAAAAGTTATAAGCGTAAAACTTTTGACCTGTTTTTAGCGAAATTTTTACATTTATACCCCCAAAACCCCCCAAATATTGACCTAGATCAACCAAATTTGCACAGGGGCGAGAACTCCAAGGGGCCCACCTACCTATCAAATTTGGTGTTTCTAGGTGCCATAGGAGCCAATCGCGAGAGGGATCGCATCGACCCCCCCCCCCCCTGCCAGGCCGTGTTATGAAAAATGCCCTGCCAGGGCGAGGGTTAAGGTATATTATTTTCAAATATTTATTGTTTCTGGTCTAAAAGTTAAAAACACTGACGTCGCTGAAACATCGTCCTCTAAAAAGCTTGAGACAATTTTTTTCAAAACTTACTTCACGCATTTCTCGCAATAGGTACCCAAAATTTTGTGAGCATGTAACGCGCCGTTTTATCAGCTTTTAGGGGCGGTCAAAATACACCCGCCGTGACCCACCCTTGGGGGGGGGGGTAAACTACACCCGCCGTGACCCACCCTTGGGGGGGGGGGTAAACTACACCCGCCGTGACCCACCCTTGGGGGGGAGGGTAAACTACACCCGCCGTGACCCACCCTTGGGGGGGGGTAAACTACACCCGCCGTGACCCACCCTTGGGGGGGGGGGGTAAACTACACCCGCCGTGACCCACCTCGGGGATGATGACAAAGCAGACGAGCAGCACGCTTATGCCGATGTTCATGAAGAGGATCCACCTCAGGAATGTAAAGTAGGAGGCCACCGCCGTGCCGAAGTGAGACTCGATCCGCTTGATGGGCTTCTGCCACGGCACCGCCGACGTCACAAAGTTGGCAAACTCGCGCTGGAAAACTTGCCAGTACTGCCGCCACAGACACCCGAGCGATTAGTTCACGGAGGATCGCTTTTGCCTTGATGAGGATGGGCTAGCTTTTGCCCTGTTGAGGGTGGGTTAGCTTTTGCCCTGTTGAAGATGGATTAGCTTTTGCTCTGGACTCCAGCCTCTAGTTTTTTAGGTGTATAGGAAAAAACACTGGAACCTGAGGTCAAGTCAGCAGCATTCAGATCCATTCCTACTGAGTGCCTTAACTGCGACATATTTTCAGAATCATGCCATATCTACCCATTCATGCAGTGTGCACTGACCCTGAGGAAGACGAGCGAGTAGCGCGCCAGGATGTCCCGCGCCGAGCGGCTCTGCGCCAGGCGCTCCGCCAGCTCGCCCTCGTGTTTGGCCACGTAGATCTTGGCCTGCGTCACCAGATTCAGCTTTCTGAAACGGCGCCAACAAAACCAGCCAGTGTTATCCTCGCTCGAATTAGTAGTTTGCTTCATCGTCGACGATTTCCAAACTGCACTGGGTCACAATATCAAAAGTGCAGTTTAGTTGCAGATGGCCCGGTTACCACCGGTTACCACCAATCACTCGAATAAAAGTGTTGCGCTACAAAGTGAAGGCATTCTATAGAATGCCTACTGCCTAGGCATTCTATAGAATGCCTGACCGACCAGGCAATCTATAGAATCCCTAGGTATTGGGGAGAGGCGGGAGAATTGGGACATATTTCTCAAGCCATATTTACTGAGATATAATTTGAAAAGTACTGTTGCCAAGCTGCTTCGTGCAGCACCAATAAAAGATAGGCCATTTCATACCATCATAAAAAACCGAGCCTATGCAGTGGTGTGGTTATGTGTGGAGAAAAACAAAAATACTCATTTTGGGGAGAATAGGGACACACGCAGGAGAAAAGGTACAGACACGATGCTGAATTGGGACGCATAAAAATGAGATATTGGGACAACATTTTTCTCTCGAATTATTGATCTGTCTATGTCTCGGCAATAAATTAATACGTTGGAACTTATATTCACACTATCTGCTTCGTTAAGGCCGGGATTGTCATTCACGATCACGATGTTCCCATAAAATGAACATTTTCAGACTTCTTGGTCTTCGCTTTGATGTATTTGTGGATAGGGGGCGCAGCTGCAAACCCGTCCAAAACATGAAGTACACATACACATCTTTTTGCACCCTTTTACCATTTTCACCATTTGGTGTCCCAATTCTCCTACAACACCATGCCATATCAAATAACGCATTTTTTGTCATTTGTCAGTTACAGAGCGTGTTCATGCAAACTGGCAATCGCATAGAGACGGTGTTTAGCTAGCATCGCAACATCTTGAAAGAAAGATAGTTTGTCATATGCAATACACAGACAACTCAGAATAACACTCGAAAAAAACAAGTTTTTTGGTGCTCAGCCAGCACAGCCCAACCGACGGACACAAAAGGGTTGCTGAGGCTTCCCATCGTTGCACGACACATCGAATCAAAAGGTAAAGGCAAAATCGTGCAAGGACGCTGCCCATTTTTTAAAATATTGGCGTGTCCCTATTCTCCTGCGTCCCAATTCTCCCGCCTCTCCCTTCTATAGAATCCCTGACTGCTTAGGCATTCTATAGAAGGCCTGGCTTAAGCTCCCAGGCATTCTATAGAATGCCTCTATAGAATCATTCTATAGAATGCCTAAGTATTTTGTTTGTCCGAAATACACTTCGAAATTTAGGGGTCAGTGGCAGTAATGCTATTTGTTTTCATAACTTTGGGGGGGGGGGCGAAACGCCCCCTCCCTACAGGTGATAGAGTGCGCCGATAGCCCTACGGGGCACGGGTTAAAGCTATGCCAGGTGAAAAGTCAGCTTATCAGGTTTCGGAGATATTACACAAAACGTAAAGGGGGCAACTCCCCCCCCCCCCCCCCCAGCGGCTTGTGGGTTAAGGGACATTTATAGGAAAGGGCGACCCGACAGATGCGTTCATCGGCCACCCATCCATATACATCTCAGCAGCGTTACCAATAGTGTACCTTGGAGTAAGCGGCACATTGGCAAAATGACACCAGCCAATGGACTTTTCTTTATAAACTTCATGAACCTCCTCCCCTGACCCCACGCTGACCATGCAGTGGTCACAAGAGGTTACCGATGAGCGAATTAGCGCCGCGCGCAGCGTGGCTGAGCGTCCGCCGCGCCGGGTAGGCTGCGCCGCCGCGCCGGGTAGGCTGCGCCGCCGCGCCGGGTAGGCTGCGCCGCCGCGCCGGGTAGGCTGCGCCGCCGCGCCGGGTAGGCTGCGCCGCAGCGCAGCTCGCTGCAGAAGCGGCGGCCAGCCGGGCGGGCCAATATTTACATACATGCTGCAGCTTCCCGACCGTGCAGCTCGGCGGATACATATACGGACCTCAGCGGGATTCCGACCCTCGCCTGACTGTCGACCACCTATCAGCCGGCGTCACAAGCCGGCACTCGGCGCCGATTGGTGCTTAGCGCGCACGGCACACGATTGTGCAATCCCCGGCCTCGCATATCCTCCCCCGGTATCTGTCCGCTTCAGCACTGATCCTGGCTCGGCATGGCACCAGCAATCACAGCGCAGTCGAGCTTACTTTTGTAATGATGGATGTGAAATTGTCTCAGCAGATTCATGCAGTAATTACATGAAGCGACTTGCGTCCAACTGGACACACCAATCAACCAGGCTCATGGACAAATTGTTAAGTGTTCAGCAATGATGACGACGGCGCATTAATCATCGACTGACTTACCTTTGCATCGGCCATGGCTGGTGTTTAATTTCGCCGATAACTTCTTTGTGAAGCCGTATATTCTCGAAGATCTGCTCTTCATTGTCAGATTCTTCAACCTCCACAACGACACTGCGAAAATCAGTAGACGAATCATTGCCAATCGGCACGGTAACATCCCCGGACCCAAATACTCCCCATCGTGGCGTAAACCGGCATATCTGTCAATTTCTGTTTTAGCTTAATTATAAATATACAATCGCGAGTGCAAAAGTACATCATTTAAAGGGACCCTCCCACCTTAACATTAGATTTGAGTTGAGATAGCCAAAATGGGGTCCCTGGCTCACAATTACCGGTTTCGGCACTCACAACATCGAGAAATGCCTTAAATCGGAAATATTGAATTTCAAAATTGCAGCATTTTGATTCAGAGGGGCTAATGCATAGGAATACCCCTCTGAATGTGTGACGTCAGCGCAGATATCTAACGATTTTTAAATGTTTGACTAAAACGTTTTGTAGCACGCGGTGGTATATGCTGCTTTGCGCGCAACAAGTGCCGCATTTTCAGCTGCCAAACTATTGCTTCCAAATAAAGTCGCTAGGAACAGCGGAGATCCCAAAAAGTAAACAAAAGTAAAAGTCTAATATCTTGAAAACCGGTGAATATTTTTCGGTGAAATTTGGTAGATATTCGTCTTCGCTCTTTCTGAACCGAGCGACATCACTTTCATGCCAATTCATAAACTTTTTTGAAGGTGGGAGGGTCCCTTTAAACCACGCATAACTGGGAAGGGGTGGGCTTTACAGAGCCCCTCCCGTTTTTCGGCAATATCTTCCAAACCATTTAACATAGCAACACGAAACATGCAGTATCTTCAGCGGCATCAATTTGACGCCTTGTGTCAAAATTTCATCTTTCTAGCTACAATGGGTCGGCCGGAAATAACGTCAGAGTGACGTAATGCTGGTCGATTTTTAAGAAAAACATTGAACTACGGCAATCGCTCTCAAGAGCTCAGTTTGTAAGCTTTAACTAATTTCTTTGCATGAGTGGACTTCAAATGAACGTGGCTATCAAACTGCTATCTCGGATTCTCAAAATTTACAAAAAAAATACATTTTTTATTTAGAGTTTGACTTTTCGAGAAAAAAAAAAACAAATTTTATGTAATAGACCACCCATCGATGACCTATTCTAGAAAGTGAACCCAATATCTTCGAAAATGGCCAAGTTATACGCACCAGTATAACGCCTTTTGGGGCGACTAACGGAGCGAGTGAGCCGGTGAGCCTTACACGTGCGAAATTTCGAGGGGGTTCCTCCAGCTGACTTGTGGACGGCACCCTACTAACGGGTCTCTAGCGATGTGCCAAATTTGAGCACAATCGGCCCAGCCGTTCTCGAGATCTGGAAGCGGCACCCTGCACGTGCGCACGTGCAAAATGGGTCCCAAATGACTTTTGCACGACACCCTACTAACCGGTCCCTAACCATGTGCCAAATTTGAGCGCCATCGGTCCAGCCGTTCTCGAGATCTGGAATCGACCCCTGCACGTGCGCACGTGCAGCAGCACCCCAACTCTGGCACATGGATATGCATTGCCTAGTGGGTGCCTACCTACATGCCAACTTTCAGCGCAATCGGCCAAGTAGTTACCGAGATATTGCAACAATTACAAAAGTGACACCTCTTCGTTTTGCACGTGGCACGTGCATAAGGGGTCACCCACATCCATAGGGAATAGTCCAGTACTTGGTAGAAGGAATGAAGCTACCCTACAAAAATTACCGCATGTAAATCGGTCAAGTGGTTGCTGAGATATAAGCGTCGCAGAATCGTGACCACGGCCGGCCGGCCGGCCGGCTGGCCGGCCGCTCATACTCAGAAATGTCCGTTATTCTACGTAAGACTTCCGTTATTCTACGTAAAGACTTCGCTCGCTTCGCTCGCTCCGTAATTATAGTTTCACAAAAAAACATAATTTCAAATCCATATTTTTCAGTACCTTTTTGACATCGTAAAACAATATAAATAGCACTATAGTGTTCCTGAGCTCAAATGCCATATACCGGTAAAATACCAAATGCTTTTGGTATATAAATAATACCGAATACCGAATCGGTATTGGTTCGGTATCGGTATACCGAAATTTTGGTAACCGATTGACGCCACTAATGTCTACGCCGCAGACGGACACGGGCCAAGCTGGCTTTACTCGAGTGGTACAGCTTACCGAGCCGGCTCCCGCTTACGGAGAATCGCCGCCGCTAGTGGGAGGCCCGCCGACGCAAAGCAGCGATGGAGGCCCAGTCGCCAGCACCGCGGCCGCGCTATGCCGAGCCGCCCCCTGCTTTGCCGCAGCTCAGTCGTGTGCTTTCCCCCCCCCCCCATCATTTGTTCGTGCGCTGCACAGTGGGCCAGGCGCATCAAAAAAGCGGAATTAAGTCGAAAATCAACTTCGGTGAAATTCCTGTAATTATGGGATAGAGTATTGTAAAAATGTCCAAAGTTTCCGAATAAGCAAGTTTCCTTTCCCCAATGCCAAGGCAGATAATGCTATAACGTCGCAAAGTAGGACTTACCGACTGGAGATGGAAATGACTGCTGTGTACCATATTCCGTTCCCCCGATTCAAAAGCTCTCAGCGTAAAATCATTAAAGTTATTCCGTACAAAATAGCTTTAAAAAAACAGCCGGTATTTCTGCGCATGTTTCTCGTACTCAAGTTCCCGGGAACTATTTCATGCTTACTAGTAGCGGTGGGGTTTACAGTGCCTGTTCGGAACCGTGGTAGTGCAACGACGCAATGAATTTATATAAGGATATAAAGAAAACGTCACCGAACAACACGAATATATTTGCTGCCTGACTTTCCTCAAGGTGTATAGCTTGCTGCTCAATGCAAATATTTTGCGCATTTTTGCGCGAAATGGACAAATAAGGGTTTAACCCTCGCCGGCATAGGCCGTTTTGCATCCCTCGACGGCACAGGGGGATGCGACCCTCCTCGCGTTTGGCCCCTAATTGAGCTAGAGCCTCGCGGAAAAAACCATCATGTAGGTCGTCACGAGACGAAGCCAACGGTACCCGGTTTTAAGGTCATAGGTCAAATGGTGACCTCTGAGGTCAGGTCAATGGCCGAAAGTCGGGACCTGTTAGAACGTCGTATAGTGTGGCTGCTAAGGGGTTTTTCGGGATGCTGATCACGAATATCATGTTAGTTTTGATCACAGATGATGTCTTCATGCATTTAGGCCAGGTCGGGTCAGCTCAGGTCAGGTCAACCAGTATGGGTCCTGCCGGGTATTCGTAGTAGGTGTCAACCCGCCTCTGACAGCTTCGTAACATGTTACGAAGGCACCAAAACTACTTCGTAAATGTTCAAATGGTTCCTAAATTCGAATTCAGCTCCAAAAACTAGCCCAGAAACATGTAAAACTCGAAAAAGTGAACCGAGGTCATCGAAGGTCAATGACCTGACCTGACCTTCAGGTGACCTTTACACCCACCGTAATGCATGGGACCAGCATCATATCACATGTTTGAACGCTTGAAACCACGAAAAGACTGCAAACGCGCGGCCAATGCGGCATAGTGCCCGCCTGTCCCAGGCATATGTGCAGCGCAGAAACTAAATAATGACGTCATAGGTCAGTGACCTAGCGTAACCAATCAAATTTGAAAATGGATATCGGATTCGGCTTTAGCATGATATATTACCGTGTAACGAATCATTTTTGGCACCGCAGCTGTGCTCATTGATTTAATTCCGCTTTTTTGAAGCGCCTGGCCCACTGTGCGCGCTGGGGCGGCGTGAGCTGTTTTTGTTGCGTCTGCAGTCGTCTTGGGGGGACATGTTGGGTTGTGGTTCGATGCTGGCGCCTGAGCGCGCCCGTATATACCTCGCCAGCTGACTGAGCGCGCCGAGCGGCGTGGATGGCGCGGGCGACGAGAGGCGGCGCTCGCCATTTTTGTTGGTTTCAGTTTCGGACGCATATTTACGTCTGGACAACGAGTTGCGGGGAAAAGTGCTGATTTTGTTGCAGTTTTAGGAGCCGGTGATTAGGCTGGATTTTTGGGTTACTTTTTCGTTCCGATTCATGTATTTCATAGTGTTTGGCTTTTGAATATTTTAGTTTTTTTTTCAGATAAATATTACTTGTCTTACAACTTTTGTAAAAACGTTTCATTTTTTTATAAGCCGACGTTCAGAGTCCTAAAAATACATCAGCACTACAATCATTGTAAACAAACAAATGGAGCACCACTTGGCTCTGTTCCAAGGCCATTTTTTAGTTTATCTGGTGGTTTTCTTACTATTGTACGTCGTTTTGTTGGATGTTTTGAATATTGACTTATATCATATTTAAGAAGCATGTTGACTGAAAACAATCCGAAGTATCCAGGAGGCTGACAGAGGTCCTGACTCCTGAGCAATATCAATATCAAGTTGAACAAGTTGTGAAATTTTGGTTGATAAACGCAAGGTGATCGGGCTCATATATCAGCAAGAAAAAGTAAAATTAAAAGAGCTTATAGGCCAAAAACAAGCTATAATATTGCAGACCTTGGAGCAATACCTACTGAAGAGCACGCTGAGCAGGATCATGCCAATGCCAGAAAATGTTGACTGGTGAGCGCATATTGATGTATTGGTATGGATATTGAATGATAACTTACAACAGCAAGATAAATTAGTGCTAACTTTCAAGTTAAAAATCTAGAATGAATGGACTTGGGCAGCTTAGATGCTTCATGCTATGCAGATTGTAATGTGCATCAGGTGCTCAGTGTCTGGCAAATGAAACATGCGATCATTCTATTGCTACTGGAGGAGAAAGCTTGGATCACTAAATCCACTTTATGTTGATTTTGATGTTAATCATCACTGTATTTCTTGAAAAAAGGATTATAGTAGAATTGTCAATGTGACAATCCATGCAACGATGTGATCATATAATGTGTTCATAGTCATTCGTGATAGTGATTATTGGTCCAATATACAATGGCAAAGCTCTCAGTCTCAGCGTTTCTTCCTGTGGATGGCCAGCAGTGACTCAGAGCTTTGAAGTTTGAAGTATTAGTTTTCTTCACAGGGCTGGGATAAAAAGTACTGAGGGTAATCTTCCACCAAGGAACTCTACTTTGACATGGTATGAGATGTATGCACAAGTAGGTAGGTGCTTAGTTCCTATAGTCAGTAGTTGTGTATGTTTAGTCGGGTTAGCTTAGATTAGATTGTTAGTTTTTTAATTTGCCAAGTGTCCATAAAAATGTGACCTGAGCAATGAGCATACTCCTGACTAGCCTGACAGCTGACCTAGCCTCAATCATCACACATATTTGCAGCCTACCCAAGACCTGCATAGCAGTAGCACCCAGTTATAGGTAGGTACTCACTCACCCTAACTCAATCTTACCTGCTAACCTTCAACTTGCCAAAAGTTAGCTCACATTGCCAAGCTGCATCCAGGGAAACAGTCAACTGAGGAACTGGCTCATTGGGTGGCTGGTGTGAGTCTGTGCATTTAAAGTGTTTCTTCTCTGAAGCTGCTCTGCACTGCTGTATGTCATGTTAGATGCTCAGAAATGTGGGAAATGATTACTTAGCTACTTTAGTGCTAAGTAATGAGATGACGGATGTCATCACTGTCAACCGTGGAAGCCGAATGGCTACCCATCTACGCTGGAGTACGAAAAACATCATCTCACTCTAGCTACTTTAGTGCTTTGTTAATGCTCGAGACATGAACAAGTACAGATCCTGCAGGGTACAGCTATGAGTTAGGTGCTAGGTGAGTATGTTATGTGAATGTGCTGTTCCCTGTTTGACCAGAGTAAGTATACAAACAAGCACAGGGTCACAGTTATATTCAATCTCCACATAAACATACAACAAAAACGGCCATATGGCCTAACTCCGAACACACCACAGATAACTTAAGCCTTTGCAGGCACAAAAATGTTTTGATTAACAGGACAGGTATACAATATATCCTGTCCTTGGGGGATCTTGCTGCCAAGTTGAGGTACGATGACTTAACTTCAGGATTGATCAACATTTTCTTAGCCACTGCTTATATACGAGAAAGACCAAATGCTTGTTTCTTTGATTTACAGGACATGTATACAATATATCCTCTGTCCTTGGGGGATCTTGCTGCCAAGTTGAGGTACGATGACTGAACTTCAGGATTGATCAACCTTTTCTTAGCCACTGCTTATATACGAGAAAGACCAAATGCTTGTTTGTTTTGATTTACAGGACATGTATACAATATATCCTCTGTCCTTGGGGGATCTTGCTGCCAAGTTGAGGTACGATGACTGAACTTCAGGATTGATCAACCTTTTCTTAGCCACTGCTTATATACGAGAAAGACCAAATGCTTGTTTGTAAACTGCGTTGAAAATTTAATGATCCACCATCACCATCAATTCTGACATGAAGGCACAAATGAAATAGTTCCCTCTCCTTTTGGAATACACAAAGCAAAATATTGATGGACAAGAGCAATTAGCATAGCTTCTCCCCAAGTTAACTTCTGGCACTAATGAATTACACTGACGCTTATTCGCTTCATATTTTGTAACAAACGCGCTAAAACTGCAATATAACAGCACTATATGCTTCTTGACAAAATGCAATACAAGTAAAAATTTAGCCCTGATGGCATTCATTCTTGGTGGAAACGTAATTACAAAATATTTTGTAGTAACTATTAAATTCCGGCTGAAAACAGTCCACGGTTTAAAAAAGAATCATTCCAATGACGGTCCATTCTTGCGGTCCTGAAATCGCCACTATTTCCGGCCTCTCCAACGCAACTCGTTGTCCAGACGTAAATATGCGTTTCGGACATTCTTTCGGCCCATACGTACCGTCATAGATAACATGAATCTATGATAACATAATAACATGATTCATGTTATCTATGGTACCGTCATAAAATAAATCGCGTTTTTCATTGATTTGCTCTTTCACTCGAACCGAAAATCAAGAACATAACATTTATAATTGCTATCTCCACTTCCATTCCTTGTTGATTGTGAACATGTCCCTTTAACAACACATGATCTGCTTTCAGACTTGAAAGTCACCAATGAATGTCATCATGTCACCGATAAATGTCATTCATGTCACCAATGAATGTCATCTCATCATCGTGTAATACGTACGCCTGAAAGTACACACTAAAATGTGTGTCATATGCTACGATTGTCAACTACTTGATTTTTGGTGACCTATTCTTACTTTGTTGATCTGAACTTGATCCTGATTCCTCATCTATGCTTGACTGACCCCTACGTGGAGCTGACATCCCTGTAGTACTTCTATGAAAAACTGCGCACAGTCTGATAGAGTTAATGACGATAGACGCCCAGTATATCAAAGTGCATGCAGCTGAAAGCTTAACTTCAGGTGTTTGACCTGACCTTGACCCGATCTGTGACCTCCAAATTCAACTTTCAAGTACTCATCAAAAGCGTCTCGTCGCGTTCTTTCGTTTATCGCCTCGTGAGCTTCGCTGCGCCTACGCCCCCCCCCCCCAGCAAGTGGCGGGCGGCGAAATGCCGCAGCAACTGCCGGGCAGACATAGGCGGGAACCGGGGGGGGGGGTAGTGGGGGCAGTTTGCCCCCCCCCCACACACACACACATCTTGGGCCGTTTTGGGTGCCCCCACAACTTTGAGACGGAATACCGCACTTTTTTGCAGGTGAGAAAACTAGATTTTGGGGTACCCTAGATTGATCTCTATTATGGTGTGCCCCCCCCCCCCCCCCAGTCTGAAAGTAGTTCCCGCGCCCCTGTGGGCAGATAATTAGTATATTATTAACCGGAAATATTATCAACTTCGGAAAGATAGTTCATAGCTTCCCCGGCAAAACACCTTCAATATCAACTTCAGGCCCAAGGCCACTTCTTTGTGACCCACTTCTCTGGGTCAGATTCACTCCAATTTCCGGAGAAGAGGCTGGGAGCCCTGTAACCCATCCCTCACTGGAGCGCCTATTTGTATTCACTCTCAAAGGCGATGCTCTGGCGGAGCCCTTATACTCACTTTGAGATGCTGCGGTGTAACCCTTGGAGCCCCGGCTGTACTCACTCGCCGGATGCGGCGCTGTGGCTCTTGGAGCCGCGGCTGCGCCGTCGCCGCAGCGAGCGGCGTGAGTCCCGGCTGCTGGCCTGTCTCTGCAGCCGGCGGGAGCCGCGCCGCGAGCCGTGCCGCTCCAGGATCTGCGACACGCTGGCAGAGTACTCGTCGTCCTCCTCCTCCTCCGCGCCCACTGCCGGCAGCGCACCGCACACGGCGTTAAAGCTACCCCACTGCCGGCAGCGCACCGCACACGGCGTTAAAGCTACCCCACTGCCGGCAGCGCACCGCACAGGGGGTTAAAGCTACCCCACTGCCGGCAGCGCACCGCACACGGCGTTAAAGCTACCCCACTGCCGGCAGCGCACCACTGAAGAAAGGGGTTAAAGCTACCCCACTGCCGGCAGTGGGGTAGATGTTTCGGCTCGACGTTGCGGATCGAAACGGCTATTTTTGGAGTTTTTGCCCTCTGAAGGCTAAACCGTTGACCTGAGGTCAAATCTGAGAGCATTATTCAGAAAGGTCTGTAAAAGGGCTATCGAATGCGCTTTCTGCGGCGCTGTAGCTCTATCGGTTCCCGAGATAGCCGTTGGCAGTTTCCAAAATGTTGAAATAGTCAACATTTTACCTTTGGTGACCTCTGGTGACCTGACCTTTGACCTGACCCAAAAAATGACTGAAGTGTTTTCGTCCTTATTTTGGACGTTCTTTCGATTGCCGCTTACCGCGTGTCGCTACGTGGCCCAGGAGCCGAGTTAGAAGGGGGTGTTCAGACACCCCCCCCCCCACCCGGCCCGGAGCGGAATCTCAGAGCACCGGCCCGGCGCGGGTTAACTTCGGGTACCAATCGCTGCGTCTCTTAATGGCGCACACGCTCGTTTTTGAGTGACGCTCTAGCTCCATCAGGGGCGAAACGGCGAGGGGGCGTCTTACCCGCTTCCCATCCACCTCCCCCCCCCCCCCTCGGCCGGCGCGTATGTAGAAAACCAATAATTAAAAAAAAAAAACAATAAATAGAAAGCCAATTGAATCTACCGCAAGTTTGATCTACCCTTATTCATTCCCATCCGGGATAATAAGAGCAGCGGGGCTGTTAAAAAGTACCGATCCGCTGATAATGACTACATTTCCACGGCACAAGTTAACCTTCCAGGCGGTGGGGGGGGGGCATTTTTTGCCCCCCCCCCTTAGTTTTTTCCCTATATCTCCAGAACCGCTGCGCCGATCGTCACCAAAATTTCAGTGCCTACCCTCCCGTGAATAGCTTTTGCACATTGTGAACAAAAATTTTCAAAGGCTATTATAGGTTGGGCGCTAATGACGTCCGAGTGACGTCAATTCTGCCATTTTCGACCCAAAAAAAGGTTTGGCAGGATGAGCTGTCAGTCCTACAGCTTTAGAGATACAGAAAAATGTGTCAACATAAAAGGTGTAGAATCAGAAAGGCTACAAAACTGATATCTCGGATTTTTGAAATTTTTGGATTCTGACCCCAAAAATCAATAAATAGATTTTTTGAATATAATAGCCGAAAAACCCATTTTCTAATTTCGAAAACATACCGGAATATATGTGATGGTCCCTACCACCTTCTATCCATATACCGAATATGAGATCGATACCTCTTTTCTTGGTCAGGTTATAGCGAAAAACTGTTCAAAATTGATGACGTCAAATTTTCAAACCCAATTTTAAGCCATTCTAGACCTTGAAGCGTAAAAGAAAGACCACCATTTGACTCCCCGTGGCGAGCTGCATCGAATCAATACCGGTTTTATGCAAAACTATCAGCTTTGAAATTTGACCTTTTTTACCTGACCTTGACCTGACCTTGACATGACCTCTACCACAAAGTGACCTAAACCGTACCTGATGGTCTTATAACCAACACAATTGAGTTGGAAATGAAAAGTTGGCCATAAAACATGCATCGCACAACCTTAGTAAAGTTGGGTTCATGTGCTGACCCTTGGTGACTTGACCTGTGACCTGGCCTGGTATTATCAGTGACTTCTAATAGCAATATATGTACTAGGCAACTGACGCCCTATCGCTGATTTTCGACAAAATGCGTTTTACTCGGTGTTTGTGACGTCATCGGTGACCCTGAGGTCAATGAAATTTGGTTTCTCACGCTCACGACAAATTTGACAGGGCTATCGAACTCTGTTTGAATTTTGTGGATCCGTCAAGTAGTTTCGGAGATAGGGGGGATATGACTCCCCCCCCCCCCCACCGCGCGGATGGTTGCCGGGAGGTTCACCGCCTGCCGGGTGAACCCGCGCCGGGCTGGGGAGGGGACTGTTTGGACATCCCGTTTGTTTTTTCGCAGATATCTCAAAGAACAGCGGCGCGGGACACTTTCTTCAGGCACAATTGTTCATGCATCTTTTCCGCACAAAAATTCGTCATGCATAATAGTCAAATAAATTGAAAATATAATAAGTTCATTTTTGTAACAACACAAGAATATGTCGAACATGAATTATAGTGATAACTTTTAATTTTTAGACATAGAGGAGATAATGTATAGGAATGACAAGATTGCAGTTTTTAGAGGCATTAGAACTGAAATTGACATGAAATTGTGACCTGACATCAGGTGACCTGTGGTTGATTTTTATGCACGATGCAAAAGTGATGTACAGTAAGATATACCGCTGTTTTCGAGGCGCTACGCGCCGGGATTTTCTCAACACACGAAAAAACCGGGAGTGTGGCTAAAAACACCATCAAGACGAAGAGCGGAAACCCGACCCCCACTCAAAAATCCGTGGCGACGCCCCTATTTTTTCCTAAAAAATAAGTGCTATCTCCAAAATTATTTTTTTCATATTTCGGAAACCACACAATCGGATTTTTGCCAAATTTTGTTCCAGAAAAATTTAAAATTGGAGATGAGTATTTTCAAAAGTTATTTACCGTCTTTTGGGGCCAGGTGTTAGTCTAAAGGGCGATGCGGGAGCGTCATGCTGGGTCAGGCGGCATTGCTGCAGTTTGTGCCGGAGCTAATAAGGTTCCGGGACCCATCTGATGCCGTAATTGTTGAGCTATGGAAGGATGTCAACTGCCTGCGGACACGCAACGCCAGGCAATTCTTCGCTCTGTTATTGTCGTGAACCGACTATGCCGTCACGGATAGGCTCCTTAATACTGCCTTTGATCTTTGTTCATTTAACTAGAAGTGGCACAAAGGACAGTGGAGCCTGTGCGGGCTGAATGAAAATTTTTCGTGCGCATGGTAGGGGAGAGTGGGGCAAAGTGGCCACCCTAACGCTTCTCACGATGCCAACGCTTGATTTTTAAACTTGGAAAGATTCTTTCTATACCAATGTGATCCCAATTAAGTTGCCTTTTATTTCAACTGCGTTTTATTTCCAAAGGCGTTCACATATGGAAGATATTGACAAAACTTTTAACCTATGCATATTGGCCACTTTGCCCCATACCCTGGGGCAAAGCGGCCACAGGCGTCTTCTCAAGTCCCGATATGAGAAGCAAAATAGTTGCCTCTTGTACGACCAGGGTATTTGATGGTGACAAGGTTTAAGCGAGGATGGATGTTTGCTTTCAGCATCCCACCTGTAGGTAAACAAAGAAAGGATTTTCATGAAAAAAAACATTTAATTGCATTATTTGGTAACTCATGCAACTGAAAAGTGGCCAAGATGAATGTTTGACGACACATTTGAATATAAATAATGTTTTTTATCCAGATGGAAACAACATATGGCCAAATGGGGGGTGGCCACTTTGCCCCGGCCACTTTGCCCCGCGCATACCGTCCGAGACAAAAATATTCCAGCTTAGCTATTAGTGGGGTAAAAAACATTAAAATTGGTAGAATACATGTACGATAACCATGCAATGCATGGACAAGAACGCTTATAAAAATTCAAAACGGTTATGGAAAAACATAACATTTAAAAATTGTAAACATAGTTGGTAACCTGGCAAGAAATGCTTTTCCGTGTTTCACAGAACAATGGTGATGGGCCTGAAACCCCGGTCTGGCTCATTCGAACGACCGTGAAGAGAAGTAGAATTGGAAACCATAAATTGGAACTGACGCCAGGAAGGACTAAAACGATGGGTGGCCGCTTTGCCCCACTCTCCCCTATATCTATAATCTTCGACCTGACGTCTGACGTCATCGGTTGAACCTAGGTAAATGAAATTGGGTGACATGGTAGTTCTCCGGTGGGGCTATCGAACACCGTTGGAATGTTGATAATTGGTTGTTTTTTCCCCGAGATCCTATGCGAGGAGGGGGGAGGGGCAGAACGCTCCCCCTCCCTAGCAGGCTCCGCCAATAGGTATACGGGGCGCGGTTTAACCGAACATTTGCACCGTGCCCTTCCCGCGGACTTACGTGTGCTCGTTCTCCTTTTGACCGCCAGCTCGGCTTTTTTGGAGTGCTGCTGTTGGAGCGGATGAGTCAGTTGTGGCTGCAGCACCACTACCTGCTGCTGCTGCGGCTGCTGCTGCTGCTGCTGCTGCTGCTGCTGCTGCGGCTGCTGCTGCTGCTGCTGCGGCTGCTGATCGGTCGAGCTGCCGCTATCGGGGGCGAAGCTGACCGACAGACGATCATAGGACGGCGTCGGAGAGTGACTGTCACCCTGAAAAACACACAGTCGCAACCAAATGACTGGCAAGGAGATTACACGCGCTAACCCTCGCCAGGTCAGGGTCTTTTTCATAACGCGGACGGCCAGGGAAGGGGGTTGGTGTGACCCCCCTTGCCATGGCGATTAGTTTCTATGGGACTCAGAAACACCAAATTTACAGGGAAAAATTGGTTAAAATCTCCAGATCGCCCATAAAAAAACTCGCCCCTGTGCCAATTTGGTAACACTAGGTCAATATTTGGGCGGTCTCGGGGGGGGGGGGAGCGGGTTGCATAAATTGTAATAATTTGTGACCTTACGTCAGAAAAACTTCCGATGCTTACTACAGCTTCACCGACATGTCGACTGTGCGACCTTCTCATTTTAAGTCAACGCATGTGAGAAAATTGAACTGTGCTTCTTTTGCATGAAACTTATAATTAACACCCTGAATCATCTACTTACAGGCAAGCATTAAGTACTGAATCGAAAAATGGCATCCGAGGCCCCTTTTTATATCCATGAGGTTATCTTAGGTCATAAAAGGTTCCATTCAGTTTTTTTTTGCAATAACTTTTAATTTAAGTACGTTTAGAAATTAGAGCTACCTATGCCAACGCCTTAGATGTATTCACCTCAACGATATGGATCGAATTCTATGCAACATGAGTCCATGACCCTTTCCGGTTAGGTCATGAGCTTGACCTTCAGTCAAATTTTCGCCTTACATGTATACCTACTTTTATTGTCATAATGTGGAAAATAAAATCATAATATGACTGCACAAGTTGGGCAGCCAATTAACTCAGTGGCCAATGCACCCCTCTCTCAATAAAAAATCGACCATTAAAAACATTAAAACAGCTCTCTGTGTGAGAGATTAGCGGTTTACGGTCAAGGGCTCTGTGTGTTTTACTAAATAATGTTGCGTGCAACGAGGGGATGGAAATTCCATCTTCTCCCGTAGCTTCCGATTTGTTTCTTCGCCAAATCTGAGTGCTATGAATCAGTGATGTCAGTTACGGAAAATCGGAATACCGATACCAAACCAAATGCCAACCAAAACCACGGGAAAATACCGAAACCAAACCAACTTGGGAAAATGACGGAAGTACCAACTTATTACCGATTTCTTAGCCTCTTATACATTAGTGAGGGTTTATGATACCAACAAAATACCAAACACATTACGATTGAAATACCAAATACCAAGTTGATATCGGTTTGGTATCGGTATACCAAAAAGTTGGTATCCGATTGACAGCTCTAATATGAATATCGGCGATTTTCACTGACATTTCTGCACCCTTCACATACGGGTCCCCAGTTGGCACACGTCGCCTGTCCTTTATTACCCTCGCACTTTCGAATAGACACTCACCCTTGACTTTCCGAACAGACCAGCAGCAGCACCCTCAGATTTCCGGACAGACCATCACCCTCAGATTTCCGGATTAGACCATCATCCTCAGATTTCCGGATACACCGTCACCCTCAGTTTTCGGGACACACCGTCACCCTCAGATTTCCGGATACACCGTCACCCTCAGATTTCCGGATTAGACCACCACTCTCGAAGTAGCGGAAAGAAGACCGTCACCCTGGTATTTCCGGAAAGACCCTCGCTCGCCATCAGATTTTGATGAGTGAGTCGCGTCAGCAGAGACACAGAACGACGAACCATGCCTTCTGAAACTATAGCAACAGTGTACACTATAAGTATGTATACAGCATTTTGTTTGTGTGAGCTCAGCTCAATGAGGGGATAAGTTCCAAGTGCTATTTTGGCCTGTATATTCGCATTTCCGTGAGACGCCGGTGAAAAGCCTCACAAAAATATGGATCGTGGAGCCGACGTCACTGATATATTAAATACACCTAGTTCTGACAGTTAGAACCCATAACACTAATAGGATTGATGCACTCAGTCTTCTATCCATCCATCATTGCTCTGAAGCTGATGGCACGAGGTAAAGGTCATCTAGTACTTGCCTTGTTCTACTTTGCGCAGCTGCGATATTGGAAGCGTGCACGGAATCACAGCAACAGAATCGTGAGCAGGGTCCATAAGGGGCTCGCGCCTACATACAGCCACCCACCCGTGGCCCCCGTATAAATCATGGTCACATCAGGTAATGAGCCCATCAGGGGGCGGCGTGACAACATTACGGCTCATTCCACCCGGCCGGACCGCCGCCGGCGCACGCTAATTATCTTACCATCTAATTAGTCCACAGTGTCCCTCCGACACTGCTTGTCCTCAATTACTGCCGGCCTCTCACGGCACAGCGACAGCCGCCGCGGAGCAGCGCCGGCCTCTCACGGCACAGCGACAACCACCGCGGGAGCAGCGGGCGGCTCTGCTCTGCGGCACGTCCGGCTCTCACAGCACAGCGACAGCCACCGCGGAGCAGCGCCGGCGGCCCCGCTCCGCGGCGCCGGTGTGCCTGTGCCGTCAGCTCGCACTTACGGGTGTTGGCGGCGCAGCGCGGCTCCCACACGCGCCGCTTACCGTGCAGCGGTCAGTCGACACAGGGCCCCGGGACGGCCGGCACCGAGCTGGACGGCCGGCACGGCCAGAGGCGCGCCGGCCCGACCCCCATTACTAATTCAGCCGGGTGGAGCGGCGCTCTCGCCGCGCTGGCCCGCGCCACGCGCCGCGACCACGCCCTGCTCCCAATCAATAGGCGGCCGTCGTGACACGCCGCAGCCGGCTCGCTGCACCCGACACCCCGCTTCGTCCGGGCCGGAGGTTTTTACCTTCCCATCCCGTCACCGAAGCCGGTGACCGGCAGTGGCACGCCGTGATCCGAAACCGCCGGCCGAGACAACCAATCGAGACGGCATACTGAGACAGCGGACTGAGACAGCGGACGCCGGACTGAGACAGCAGACTGAGACAGCAGACTGCGACAGCAGACTGAGACAGCAGACTGCGACAGCAGACTGCGACAGTGGACTGAGACAGCAGACTGAGACAGCAGTCTGAGACAGTGGACTGAGACAGCAGACTGAGACAGCAGACTGAGACAGCAGACTGAGACAGCAGACTGAGACAGCAGACTGAGACAGTGGACTGAGACAGCAGACTGAGACAGCAGTCTGAGACAGTGGACTGAGACAGCAGACTGAGACAGCAGACTGAGACAGCAGACTGAGACAGCAGACTGAGACAGCAGACTGAGACAGCAGACTGAGACAGCAGACTGCGACAGTGGACTGAGACAGCAAACGAACATACAATGACTAATTGACAGTCAGTCTGCATGTGTAACAGTGTTATAACGTCACCCACCTTATCGAGTTTATTCAGTCGAAACTCGACTGAGCTTCCGGAGCTGCGGCGCGGCTTCTTGGGGTCCAGTTTCAGGATGCCGCCGGACTCTTTCCTGATGAGCGGTTCGTGGTCGGGGCCGTAGTCGGGGCCGTGGGAGGAGCTCACAGAGACCAGGTCCTCGGTGGGGTCTCCCCGTGCAGATTCCTCTGCCGACTGCAGGAAAAGTGCGCCGTCAGGACGCAAGGCTAAAAGAAGTAACTAACTACATGTGCACATTGCGCAATGCGCATTGCACAATACACCTCCCCCTGTGGTTTTTGGCGAATATCTCAAAAACGGCGGCGCTGCGCACCTTATCATGCATCAATTCTACACATGTTGTGAAAATGTCAGACCAAGGTCACTCAAGGTCAGGTCACCAGGTCACTTTAAGTGACCTCACCTCATAATTTATGACGTCATTAACCCGTGGTTAACCCGTGGTTAAAAGGTTACACGTGTCAGAATCTGCCCCCTCCCGTTTTTCGCCAACAACTTCTAAACGCGTTACAACAGCGACGTCAAACTTTCAGTACCTTATCATACAGCAATTTGACACGTTCCCTGAAAATTTGAACGAAATCCGTTGGATAATTTTTGAGAAAATAACGTTTAAGTGACGTCATGATCGCCATTTTCGCCTCAAAAACGGCAAGATTTCAAACGCCGCTAACATCTTCATTTTTAAAGTAATCAAGACGTAACAAAAAGGTTAAATGTGATTTTATTTTGTCTATCAAATGGCTATCTCAGTTTTTGAAAATTGTGGATTTTGGCCCAAATGGTTAAAAAAATGACTTTTTTGGGAAAATAATTATAAAATCCAAAATTTTGAGTGTATCGAAAAAACGGAATATATGTCAGAGAAGTGGTCTATGTGCACATACATACCAATTTTTATAATAATCGGTTCAAAAATGTGGGAGTTATTAAAAATGTTATGACGTCACGACTCACAAAATTTTCGAAAAATGAATTTTTTGAAAGTTCTAGACCTCGTACGGAAACAAAAGTAGCACCATTCGATTTGCCGTGAAAAACTGCATCAGATAGACACCTTTTTAGGTCTTAACAACCAACTTCAAAATTTGACCTCACTTGACCTGACCTTGACCTGACCTCGACCTGAAATTCATCCAGATGTGGTCCATATCACTTATTGAGTGTGCCTATTGAATTCTATGAATAAAATGACCCATAAAAAATGTGTCACACATGCCCTTTTCTATATTTTGTTTTTGGTGACCTGACCTAACCTGACCTGACCTGACCTTGACCTTTGAATGATATTTTATGCAACGAATATTGTCTTGGTAGCCTATGTACACCTTTTTTAGCAATCAGTCTCCGTCCATTCGTCGGCAACTACGGTGCAAGGCCGATACTGTGGAAATTTGCATATTGTAACCTTGACCTGACCTTGACCTGACCTCTGACCTACTTAAGCAACAAAATTTGGGCTCTTAAGATCCTCCTTGCTGAGAGCTTTCGATTGCCCTTTTCCCCGCCTTTCTACGACCATCGGTTTGGAAGTTAGACAGGGGGCAGAATCTGCCCCCCCCCCAGTAGAGCGCGTATGGCGCGGGGCGCGGGTTAACCCTCGCCCCGTTGGGGGGGGCCATTTTGGCCCCCCCCTGTGGTTTTTCCTGAATAGCAAGAAAACGGCGGCGCGCAGCGCCGCCAAATTTTCAGTACCTTCCCGGGCATCAATTTGACACCTTCACACCAAATTTCAAGTCTTAGGTCACCTTAGGTCAGGAGTTATTGAGGTCAAACTGAGGTCATGTTCGAGCAAAAATGAGCAAAAAACATGCAAACTTGAACCGCTCACCAAATCTACAGTTATCAAGCAATTTCAAAGTTCTTTATATGGTCTAGTAGACGAAAAGCGGCGCTACAAAACTGCTATCTCGGATTTTCAAAATTTTTGGTTTTTGACCCAAAAAAATTCAAAAAATTGATTTTTTTAGAAAAACTTTGAAAAAATCCAAAATTTTTCCAAATTTCGAAAAAACCGGAATATATGTGATAGTCCCAGCGCTCTTCTATATACATACCAAATTTCAGATCGATATCTCGTTTTTTGGCCAAGTTATAGCGAAAAACTGTTCAAAAATGATGACGTCAAATTTTTGAACTCAATTTTTAGCAATTCTAGACCTCGTACGGCAAAACAAAGACCACCATTGAACTCCCCGTGACGAGCTGCATCGATTCGATACCCATTTTATGCAAAAATATTAACTTTGAAATTTGACCTAATTTGACCTGACCTTGACCTGACCTTGACCTGACCTTGACCAAAACGTGATCTAAGCTGGCCCCAAAGGCTGCCTGACCCATATAATCGCATTTGTCATGTAAAATGGACCATAAAACATGTATCACACGACACTTTCATATTGTGACCCCCCCCCCCCGTGACCTGACCTCTGTGACCTGACCTGGTATCAGTGACCTCAAATAGCAAAATATGTGTTTGAAGAACATTTCCCCATCGATGATTTTCAATGAAATGCATTTTACTCGATTTTACAACGCATTTCTTGAAGTGCCTGTAAACGGTGAAAATTGGACCTTTGACCTGACCTGTGACGTCATCGGTTTGACCTAGGTCAATAAAATTGGGTCACAAGGTAGTTCCCCGTTGGGGCTATCCAACGCCGTTTACCGCTTGTCGCTATGTTGCGTGGTTCTCGAGATCTTAGGGGGGGGCCAAAATGGCCCCCCCCCCAACCGGGCGCGTTGCTCGGCAGAGCCCAACGGGGCGCGGGTTAAGGTCATATTAGTTTTTCGTCAATAACTTCCGATCAAATTGAGTTAGCGAGTCATGAAAGCCACCAATGGACTCAGAAAGACCTGCCAAATCGAGTGATATGCAACATGACCTCTTTCGACCAACTTCGTGACCTGGGGGCGCTGAACTGACCGTGACCTGAGGTCAACATCTTAAGTTGACCTGACCCAAACTATATCATTCGACGCGCCTGAGCGAGGCGAACACGATGCTGCCAAAATCGCGGGTCTGTGGCCGTTTTTGCGAAGTTATTCACCAAAAATAGAACCGTACCTTGGGGCACTTGACCTGCCCTCAGAGCTCACCGGTTTACCTAGGACCTTAAAATCGGGTATCAATATCTGCGTCTTGTAACGGTACACACGCTCGTTTTTTTCCGCGACGCACTTGCTCCACCAGGGGCGAAACGGCGATGGGGCGGTTCGTACCCGCCCTCGGCTGGCGCTACACCTTTTTTCAATCCGAATCGGCATCCGGTCAGTTAGTTTCGGCAGGCTTGCATTAGGAACGTCAGCTTGAGTGCGCTTTCGACAAACCACGCTCCAAACTCGGCATAGTGCAGAGGCATGACATGGGGCATTTAATTTCGACACTGAGCGTGGTTTCGACACTGGCCAATGGATTTCGGCACGCGGCATAGGACTGTGACATCGGGCATTGGAAAAAGGCAAATTTTATTTTACAATGGCAATAGTCATTCAGTTTCGTTGGTGTTATAACAAGCAAAATCAAGCAAATTTCAAACCACATTTTGTATACACCATTTTTCAATCCGAATCGGCATCCGTTCATTCAAATACGGCAGCGGGCACCTTATCTCGACAGGCACTCCAACAACTCGACACTGGAGTACGCATTTCGACACGTTTCACGGATTTAGACTAGCATCTGTTGATATTCGACCAGGGTCATTGAACAACGGCAGGGGCATTTAAAGGTATTGTGCCACCTTCCAATGATTTCCCATTTTATTTTTCCTAGGATAAGAAGCTGCTGTTTTTACCTAATATCGCAAAAAAAAACAAAAATGGGCCTGGAATAGTGCCTTTTTTGCCTAAAAGTTTATCGGTTTTTCGATATGTATAACAACTGTAGTGGGCTGACCTGCAAACAGGCGTCGGCAACAATCGCGAATGCGGCGCACATGTGACAATAAGCAAAGGTCATTACACCTTTTTCGATCCGAATCGGCATCTGGTCAGTTAGTTTCGGCAGATCTGCATTTGGAACGTCAGCTGGAGTGCGCTTTCGACAAACCACGCCTCAAACTCGGCATAGTGCAGCAGCGTGACATGGGGCATTTAATGTCGACAATGAGCGCAGTTTCGACACTAGCCACGGAATGTCGGCATACGGCATATGGCTGTGACACCGGGCATTGGAAATAGGCAAATTTCATTTTACAATGACAATGATCATTCATTTCCGTTTGTAATAGATTGACCAGAAGCCAAGTTCAAAACAATACAATTTGACTGGCAATTTGTTTAAGATGCTCACTAGCTGATTTCATTATGCTTATGCTCCAATTTACAGGATATATTTGACAATCTTAGGGTGTACTTTCGTATTGTCTACGTCCCTGGGTAGCTGGTAGAGACGTCAATCGGATACCAACTTTTTGGTATACCGATACCAAACCGATACCAACTTGGTATTTGGTATTTCATTCGTAATGTGTTTGGTATTTTGTTGGTAGGGGAGAGTGGGGTAAGATGCCCAGGGTGGGAAAGACGCCCCACCCCCTCTGGCGGCGAAACAAAGAATTGAACCCGGAAATTAATGTTCTTAGCGTAGAGAGGAAGCCTACCTTGTTAACTGCACACAAAATTTGCGAAGCTCAGTTGGGCAACGGCTGGCTGGTGAATGCATGTTTTTTATTTGCTGCTTTCGAAAAATGTTTTGGTGTCAAAACATTGAAAATATCAAAGAAGGTAGATAATTTTTGCGTCCCTTGATATAGTTGTGATACATTAACATGCGTGTACTGTGTCCCAAACAGTTTGTTTCAGGGTGTAGTTTTATGGCTAACATATTGTACTGATTTAATGTTACTTCGGTACCTTGGGGTAAGATGCCCCCTGTCCTGATGGGGAAAGACGCCCCCCCCCCCCTAAATCCGTAGGCTGTCCTTCAAGCAGCCCGTCAAATCATTTATTACATGCTTGTGATGAGAGACAAAAGCCGGTCTAGGACTATTGAGAGTCCAGTACGGTCGGGTGCTCCCCATGCCGGTCTGTCGGCCCACACGGCGACTTTTTGGGGGGCATCTGACTCTGAGAGCCCTCACGACGGCCTCGGTGGGCCCCATTATTGGCTCCAGGGCCCCTCACGATATCCTTTGAGGGCTCCCACGTTGGCTCCACGGGCTGCGCTGGCATCTGAGGTCCCCACGATGGGCTCGAGGGCCGTCAAGCATCATGAAGACCTATAAGGGCCCCACAGTGGTCTCCGAACGCCACCACGGAAGCTTGTTTGGCCGCGCTGGACTATGATGGCCCTAACGATGACCTCTGAAGCCCCTTACGACCACTTTTGAGGGCCCTTACGATGACGTTTGGTGTCTACTGCAGGCTCGAAGGGACTACTGATTCGTTCAGGCGATTCACGTGCCCATTTATGTCACTTATAGTGCAGGGGGCATCTTCCCCAACGCCAGGGGGCGTCTTTCCCACCCTGTGGGGTAAGATGCCCCCTTTGACTTCTTCAGGAAAATGCTTAATAGCAAAAAAAGTTATCATGTTTCAGGTACGAAAGTGTGATATTTTTGGAGAAAAATGATGTCGGCTTCCGTTGAAACTCCAAGTTTTTGCTTTCCGATCGTCATTTTCGAATAATATATGACATAGTAAAACCCTGGGCATCTTTCCCCACTCTCCCCTATCATAAGCCCTCACAAATGTATAAGAGGCTAAGAAATCGGTAAAAAGTTGGTATTTCCCTTTGTTTCCCAAGTTGGTTTGGTTTCGGTATTTTCCCGTGGTTTTGGTTGGTATTTGGTTTGGTATCGGTATTCCGATTTTCCGTAATTGACATCACTAGTAGCTGGTGTCATGCCCACTGTCTGCTTGTCGTTTCCAAGAAATACCAGAAGTAAATGTTGCACTTGATATGCATGCATTGTCAGGTAGGTACTCTTTTTGCACATTATTCTTCTCTATGTACAAGTACAAAAACATCGAAAAAAAAAACAGAAGACGGTGTTCGGTGGTGCCTACCGGCTACCAGTGGGTCATGTTATACTCGGTAGTAGGGTGTGTCACTAGAAACAGATCAAGCGCTTCCGCTGATTTTCCTTGTCCCTGTGTCTATGGAAGCCCATTGGTGCAGTTCTTTTTTCCATGCATCGAAAATTCGATCGGCGCCGGCTGAAAGAAGTTCGGGATTTATCGTGGCGCCCGGCGTTGCAGTCTCCATGTTTGGCGTAATGCGTTTGATGACACTAACACCAGCCGCGCGCGTCTTCGCCTGTTAGCGTCGACAGACGCTGTCAATACGGATGTAAGCAATGCAAACGAGACAGTATCCTCTGTTTAGACAACGGTTACACAGAAAAGATGCATCTTTGCCATTCAATAGCAAACTGAATTCAACTGAATTAGCATTTGCCTACCTTGCATGGTTCAGGGGACCGATTTTCTTGCAGGCCTCCTTTGCGGAGATGTTGCCCGTCCGCACGGCTCTGGTGAGTTGATACGGCAGGAGTTGGTCGCTGCTGAGGTCGGCGATGATGTTGTCCGGCAGTTCCAGCTCTGGGCCGCTCACCGGTCGGAACTTCACGGGAGAAAGACGGTGCACGGAGCAGCCGGCTGTCTTGCCCAACGGCCCCGTGAATGATCCGGGTCCACTGGTTTTGCCGTCCAAGTTCTGGAACACTTCCTTGAGTACAAGCTCATTCGAGTGCAGCTGGCAAACAAACCAATGGACCGTTTTCTCTTGAATAAGCTCCAAAAGTCGGCATATTCCACCAGATCTGCCCGTATTGACAGCCGCGCCATCGCAGCCTATTAGCCAGAGTGGCAACGTTTATCAGCTCATTGGCTTGATCAATGGCTTTACCCGAAATTGGCGTAAAGTTGGAGAGATATTCGTTTCCTGGTTCTGCTACATTAGCCACATGTTCCTCAGTTGCCCTGTAGCCGCCTCGGCCCGTGCTAGCTTGATAATGCCTTCCATAAAAGTACTTACATGGCCTTGAGCTCAGCGTCGCTGTGTTGTTGGTCCCGCGCGGCCACTGTACTTTGCCTCACCCGGCATCTTTCTCTCCATACTTTTCGTGTCGACCAGCAATTCTGTTTTGCCGCTCGCTACGCGACCGATATCCATCTGAAAACCGTTGATGACGGCCGCTACAGCACGGTTGGATAAACCATACCTGTCAGTCAGCTGCCAGTGCAGTGTTTGTCATATCATCATCGTTTGAGTCTTTGATGCATTCCTTCGTCTCAAATTCACTTGTGACGTCTTCATTGCTGTCGTTGGTGTCGGTCGTTGCCGATGAGTCTACCTGGCCTGTCTCGTCGATATTGACGCCGTTGGAATAGGTACGGAGGTGGGAAGGACCAGCTTGACCTACGTCGCCCCTCCCCTCGTTCCGCTCCCGTCTCATTCTAAGGCTCGCAGTCTTACGTCGTTTCCTCGTCTCCTCGTAGTCCACACCACCCAGTCTCATCTTCCGAACTCCTCTCTGGTCTCGAAGGAATGCTACTTCCGCTGGCGGTACCCGGTTTGAAAGTGGACAGGTACAGCTTCGCCGATCTTTACAGCGGCAGCAGGCGATGTCAAAAAGCTTACGATTTACGAAACAGACTCGCTTCAGAAAGACTTTGTTTCGTTTGTCCCTCCCGCATTCTTTTGGGCACCTTGTTCGATCGGCGAAATTTTTCGTAGAATTGCTTTACCTTCCGAACCACATTGTGCATTTGTATCGTTGGTATGCCCTCACTCGACCACATTGCAACCACCGCTTCCGCTGCTTCACGTAAACATGCAGTGACTGTCCGCTCACTTTTTCTATCCCCTGCCAAGAGTCTCACATAGTTCACCACATCTCTGTTTGTAGGCAGCTGATTTACCGGCAGCACACTGGGAGACCCGATAACAAAATGTTTCGCCTTGCTTCGCAACGGCATCACTGCGGCAGGGATAGTCCGATTCGATTGCGCCACACGCACTTCTGCTCACGCCGCAGCTGAAACCAGACTCACCCACGTTTTTCGCAAGCTCGTGTGCCTCGGAGAGACAGCACATGGCTCGAAAGCCGACACATTGTGTTGCCGACGGAGGGGTGATACCCGAGACCCCGCTCACGTTGCCCTCTGTCCATCCGTGCTCTCATTCTCCCTGCCCCACTTGTGATAGTCTTACCAAGGCTGCAGATGATATGAATCATCTGTGGGTCCCTGAATGGCCTCAACACATTAAGATAACAGTATGTTTCGTCCGACGTCCATTTAAACAAGAAATAGCAATCGAATTTTAACCGTCAAACGTTGTTGGCCGCTACAGGCCGACGGCGAGTCATATGGCTGGTGTTAGCGCTACGGTACGCATTTTGTTCAGTATGGAGACTTCAACGCCGGGCGCCACGGGAAATGTCGAAATTGATTGGGCCCGCGCCGCCTGAATTTTCGGTGCAGCGAAAAAAGAACAGTGCCAATGGGCTTCAATGAACCCAGGGACAAGGAATATCCGCGGAAGCGCTTGATCTGAGACAAAAATATTAGATATGACACACCCTACTCGGTAGGGTAGGGTGGGGTAATTTGAACATGTGGGGCAATTTGAACATAGTGTGAATAACAGAAAATTACGGAAAATCCATAAGTGGCATGACAATAAGACCAATGAGAGAAATTATCGTAACTAAAAGGGCTATCATATGAACGGGGTTTAAAGTTTAAGGGAATGAAGATGTTGACGCACAGTGTAAAAATCAATTTCGCAAGGAAAAACGCCTAACAACACGTCATTGCAACTTCATTGCAGCGCAAAATCTTGCATTGCTAGCGCCTAATACGCAACGGCTTTTGTTGTATAATGACCTAATCAGTGCCTTCAATCCAAGAAATTTGCTTTTGAACTCTGTTTTTGAAAATGGCAAAATAACTTTTAGCGTGGGGTAATTTGAACATAGTGTGAGAATTTGAATGAAGACAGGGATAGCTCCGAAAAAACAACGCTCCCAGTTTTTTTTTGCCAATATTTTCGACCCAAGGCAGTAGCAGATAAGTGATGCCAGTTTTAGAAAATATACGTCTAATATCCGTCTAATGTCCTGCATTTTTGTTGATTTTCCGTCCAAAAATGTTAAAGTCAACTATTTGTCCAAATATGTCCGAAAATTATGCAGCTATCAACACTCAAAACTGTCATTTATATTGCTTATCATGTAATTTTACCAGCCGAAAAGTGTTCATTATATTGAGGGCTTAACAAGCTTTCCATTCGCCAATCAATGCTATGCACGATTACTTTATAAAAAGCGATGAAGTGTAGCAACCCATTGTCCAATGTTGTCCAGTCTGCTACCTTTGTCCAACCAATTCCGAATTGGACATTGGACAAAATCAGAACTCCAAATGTCCAGGTTTCGATTGGCACCACTTTAACAGATGTAGTACGGTTGGGAAAGTTTTTATCGAACAAAAATGATAGACGTTCTGTTAATTGAAGAGGGGCGAATTCTGTCAACTGACCGGTGTGCAGCGTGCAGATATTGATAGGGGAGAGTGGGGAAAGATGCCCAGGGTTTTGCTATGTCATATATTATTCGAAAATGACGATCGAAAAGCAAAAACTTGGAGTTTCAACGGAAGCCGACATCATTTTTCTCCAAAAATATCACACTTTCGTGCCTGAAATATGATAACTTTTTTTGCTATCAAGCATTTTCCCGAAGAAGTGAAAGGGGGCATCTTACCCCAGAGGGTGGGAAAGACGCCCCCTGGCGTTGGGTAAGATGCCCCTGCACTATAAGTGACATAAATGGGCACGTGAATCGATTTAACGAATCAGTAGTCCCTTCGAGCCTGCAGTAGACACCAAACGTCATCGTAAGAGCCCTCAAAAGTAGTCGTAAGGGGCTTCAGAGGTCATCGTTAGGGCCATCATAGTCCAACGCGGCCAAACAAGCCTCCGTGGTGGCGTTCGGAGACCACTGTGGGGCCCTTATAGGTCTTCATGATGCTTGAGGGCCCTCGAGCCCATCGTGGGGACCTCAGATGCCAGCGCGGCCCGTGGAGGCAACGTGGGAGCCCTCAAAGGATGTCGTGAGGGGCCCTGGAGCCAATAATGGGGCCCACAGAGGCCGTCGTGAGGGCTCTCAGAGTCAGATGCCGCCCAAAAAGTCGCTGTGTGGGCCGAGAGACCGGCATGGGGAGCTCCCGACCGTACTGGACTCTCAATAGTCCCAGATCAGCTTTTGTCTCTCATCACAAGTATGTAATAAATGATTTGACGGGCTGCTTGAAGGACAGCCTATGGATTTAGGGGGGCGTCTTTCCCCATCAGGACAGGGGGCATCTTACCCCAAGGTACTGAGGTAACATTAAATCAGTACAATTTGTTAGCCATAAAACTACACCCTGAAACAAACTGTTTGGGATACAGTACACGCATGTTAGTGTATCACGACCATAGCAAGAAACATAAAAAATTATTTACATTCTTTGATATTTACAATGTTTTGACACCAAAATATTTTTCGAAAGCAGCAAATAAAAAACATTCAATCACCAGCCAGCCGTTGCCAAACTGAGCTTCGCAAATTTTTGTGCAGTTGACAAGGCAGGCTTTCGCTTTACGCTAAGAACATTAATTTCCAGGTTCGATTCTTTGTTTTGCCGCTAGAGGGGGTGGGGCGTCTTTCCCACCCTGGGCATCTTACCCCACTCTCCCCTACTCTGCAACTTTTATTTTTGCTGTTGTGTTGATTTTTCAAGTAAAGGTATGTTTAGAATTGTTCTGCCTATTTGTTTATGGGTCAAACAACATCGGTGCTGGCGAGACTATCGTTTTTATGACAGGTAAAGGCAGTATGTTCAAATTACCCCACGGTGGGGCAGTTTGAACACACCGTGACTTGGTGGAGAAGTGAGGCTATGCTATTCAAGGTATGCTCGGCTCGTCCAAAAATGAGGCTTGCATGGTGAAAGCAAGTGACACTTGCGCTACTGAAGCAATTTTTCTTCATCCAGGGTTGAACTGGAATTTGGTACAACGGAGAAGACGTAAAAATATGTTCAAATTACCGGCCACACTACCCTAAAACATAAACTTTCGCTGTCATGCATGCAACTAAACGCATCCGTATGTTGACAAACACTAATACCCATAATAAATACACCTTTTTCAATCCGAATCGGCATCCGGTCAGTTAGTGTCGGCAGATCTGCATTAGGAACGTCAGCCGGAGTGCGCTTTCGACAACCACGCTCCAAACTCGGCATAGTGCAGAGGCGTGACATGGGGCATTTAATTTCGACACTGAGCGTGGTTTCGACACTGGGCAATGGATTTCGGCACACGGCATAGGACTGTGACATCGGGCATTGGAAAAAGGCAAATTTAATTTTACAATGGCAATGGTCATTCAATTTCGTTGCCGTTATAACAATCAAAATCAAGCAAATTTCATACGACATTTTGTATATTGATGTGTTTCCAATGCTTACCACTTGAATATATGGCATTTTCCTTTTGTTAGACTTCCTTTGGATTAATGGAACACAAAATAGGCCAAGGCCGTGGTTTTAAGGTCAAAACGTTTTTTCTCGTAGGTTCGCGCTCGCAAAGACAGTGGTGTGGTTCCGGGTCTATGTATTGGCTTTCCCACACTGTCTTTGGGTGAGGGAAAAAGCCCATAGCCGATCACAAACAATCAAATGATAAAGCTTTTCACAGAGCACAAGTATGTCTAACACAGTTGCTGGCTAGATACGTATGCCAAAGCTGGCGGCGGTGGGGCGGACGGTGGATGTCGCGCCAAATCGAACCGTGCGCTCAGGTGACACGCGCGCCGTGAAATGGCCCGGCGCATCCGGCTACCACTCGGGTCACATTGTAGATGGCGCTGGGCTCGCGCTCGCCCGCGAGAAAGGTCATTTGTGCTCGTGCGCGCAAAAATGCTGCATTTCTCGTAGGTTCGCGCTCGCAAAGACAGTGGTGTGGTTCCGGGTCTATGTATTGGCTTTCCCACACTGTCTTTGGGTGAGGGAAAAAGCCCAACAACCCCCAACCGAACCCGCGAACACATCACTGCTAACTTTGTCGAGAATGCAGCAAGACTGCAATTAATGCATTGGCTAACTGCAGATCAGTATACTAAACTCAGCGCCATTGTTTCTCTTTTAACTACCGAGAGCTGTTTTAAAAACTAGTCCAGGGAAAATGATTTGCCTGGGGTCAGCGTTCCTGGCACCGACGCAACGTTCAGACTAGCGCTGGAGCCGGGTGTGGCGCTAATTGATGAGTCTAGGGGGATGAGCGGTCCCGATCCAACGTCTCTGGCACCGATGCAAGCGGTCGGACCAGCGCTGGAGCCAGCTGTAGCGCTGCGTGACGAGTCTTAGAGATGAGCGGCCTGGCGCCAGCGTCTCTGGCACCGATGCAGGCGTTCGGACCAGCGCTGGAGCCAGCTGTAGCACTGCGTGACGAGCCTTAGAGATGAGCGGCCTGGCGCCAGCGTCTCTGGCACCGATGCAGGCGTTCGGACCAGCGCTGGAGCCAGCTGTAGCGCTGCGTGACGAGTCTTAGAGATGAGCGGCCTGGCGCCAGCGTCTCTGGCACCGATGCAGGCGTTCGGACCAGCGCTGGAGCCAGCTGTAGCGCTGCGTGACGAGTCTTAGAGATGAGCGGCCTGGCGCCAGCGTCGCTGGCACCGATGCAGGCGTTCGGACCAGCGCTGGAGCCAGCTGTAGCGCTGCGTGACGATACCAAGAGACCGCTGTGGCCCCTCCCTTCCCGTGCCGGGACCGGCGTCCGAGCCACCATCAGCCGCCACTTGTGAGCCGTGTGGCGCCGTGGAGATGCCCGGACGGCCAGTGGCGCTAGACACGCCAGCAGGAGCAGACGGGGTCACACTGCACGTTGTTGACGTGTTGCAGGTGGTCCACGGCTTGGACCCAGCCGTCAATTTGCAGCATCGCCTCTCCAGTAAATCATGAAAAAAGGGAAGGCCATGAGTGTTGCACTGTGCACATGATAAACATCACGTAGAGTTGCGGGCCATGTAAACGACTGAGTTCAGA